TCCAAAATTTTACGAATACTTAAATTTAAAATATACAAATCGAATAGAGATGTCTTGATATGAATTGAGTACATAACTTTTTGAATATCCCATCAATTTTTGCACCACCCATTAAACATATAACATGTACAACAAATATTATAGATTAAGATAAGAATCTCTCAAGATAATTGTATATTGTGACTTAATCAAAACTACCCGTTGAATACATAAAATAATCTCATGAAGCCCAAACGTATTGGGCTTGTAGCCCAATTAGAAGTTTTCTCCGAGAGATTAAAGGTGACGTTTTTGAATTTCTCTCCGGCGAATTTGAATTTGCCGACGACAATCAAACGGCCGATGAACAAATCGAATTTGAGTAAAGCCAAACTTCATCTTCTTCCTCTAATACCCAAACTTCACCGATCACTTTATTCTCATTCTAAGCATCGTACTCGTTCTCTTCCTCATCACAGAGACAAACCCATAAACTGGAACTCAACTCACAGTTTCGTTCTCCAAAATCCTCTTCTTTCACTTCTCGAAAAATGCAAATCTTCGTTCCATTTGAAGCAAATCCAATCTCAGATGATAATCACCGGCTTGATTCTAGATTCCTTTGCCTCAAGCCGGTTAATCGCATTTTGCGCCTTGTCGGAATCTCGGTATCTTGATTACTGCGTGAAGATTCTGAAAGGGATTAAGAACCCTAACGCATTCTCTTGGAATGTAACGATTAGAGGATTCTCAGAGATTGAGAATCATAAAGAATCGGTTTTTATCTTTAAGCAGATGCTTAGAGATGGTGGGTCACGACCTGATAATTTCACTTACCCTGTTTTGTTTAAGGTTTGTGGTGATCTTAGGTTGAGTGGTTTAGGTTTGATGATTCTTGGTCATGTTCTTAAGCTGAGATTGGAATTGTTTAGTCATGTGGTTAATGCTTCGATTCATATGTTTGCTGCTTGTTGTGAGATGGATAATGCAAGGAAGGTGTTTGATGAAAGTCCTGTGAGAGATTTAGTTTCTTGGAATTGTTTGATTAATGGGTATAAGAAGATTGGTCAAGCGGAGAAGGCGATAGAGGTTTATAAGGGAATGGAATCTGAAGGAGTTGTTCCGGATGATGTGACTATGATTGGGGTTGTTTCTTCGTGTGCAATGTTGGAAAATTTGAATCTTGGGAAAGAGTTTTATGAATACGTAAAAGAAAATGGAATGAGAATGACGATTCCTCTTGCAAATGCTTTGATGGATATGTTCTCGAAATGCGGAGATGTTCATGAGGCACGGAGAATATTTGATAACTTGGAAAACAGAACGATTGTGTCGTGGACTACGATGATTTCGGGATATGCTAGATGTGGGTTGCTCGATGTTTCGAGGAAGCTTTTCGATGAAATGGAGGAAAAAGATGTTGTGCTGTGGAATGCTATAATCGGTGGATCAGTACAAGCCAAGCGTGCTCAAGACGCTTTGGCATTGTTCAAAATGATGCAAACAAGCAGCACAAAGCCAGACGAAATCACCATGATCCATTGCCTCTCTGCGTGTTCTCAGCTTGGTGCTCTTGATGTTGGAATTTGGATCCATCGGTACATCGAGAAACATAATCTTAGTCTCAACGTTGAGCTAGGAACTTCGTTGGTCGACATGTATGCCAAATGTGGTAACATCTCAGAAGCTCGTAATGTTTTCCATGGAATTCAAACAAGAAACTCGCTTACGTACACAGCGATAATCGGAGGCTTGGCCCTTCATGGAGATGCATCTACTGCTATATCATACTTCAACGAAATGATTGATGCAGGGATAGCTCCAGACGAGATAACTTTCATAGGGTTACTATCAGCTTGTTGCCACGCAGGAATGATCCAAACCGGCCGTGATTATTTCTCTCAGATGAAGTCTAGATTCAACCTAAATCCCCAATTGAAACATTACTCTGTTATGGTAGACCTTCTAGGAAGAGCCGGGCTATTAGAAGAAGCAGAGAAGCTCATGGAAAGTATGCCAATGGAGGCAGATGCTGGGGTTTGGGGAGCTTTATTATTCGGTTGCAGGATGCACGGTAATGTTGCAATGGGAGAGAAAGCGGCTAAGAAGCTTATAGAACTTGATCCCAATGATAGCGGGATCTATGTGTTGTTGGATGGTATGTATGGAGAGGCTAATATGTGGGAAAACGCAAAGAGAGCGAGGAGGGTGATGAATGAGAGAGGCGTAGAGAAGATTCCGGGTTGTAGTTCCATTGAGGTTAACGGAGTTGTATCGGAGTTCATCGTTAGGGATAAATCGAGACCGGAATTTGAAGAGGTCTATGATTGCTTACAATGTCTTGGTAGACATATGGGAGGTAGACATATGTTCAGTTTTGGACATGCCATTACTTGGAAACACAATGTGACTGAATTAAACTGTTAAAAGTGTGTTTTCAGTGAACCTCTTATGTGACATAAAATACATTAATTAATTTCTTATTGTTTGTGTATTATAAGCAACTAGGTGACTTTCTGCGCTTTGCGAGCTAATAGTTATTGTGTAGAGGTGTTGCTAGGCTTCGTGCTGACCGACATTAGTGATAGATCTTGGTAGAGTGAATGTGCTCATCTCAGCACCATTTGTCTTGTGTGGTTCCGCCTTAGAGCTAGGTCTAGGATTGTTGGTTCTTTCGTCTCTTTGTCGAAGAGTATCATCTTCAAACATGGGTTTTGATACCTTCGTGGATTGTAGGTCCTATCTTCGGGCTTCCAGTGAAAAAACTTCTGTTCGGCGAAGTTTTCGATTCACTTACTTTCGAGTCTTTCTCATGCTCATCTGCTCATGAGGGCAAGTTTGTTATCGTTGACTTTTGACACTGATAGCTTCACAGCTTAAAGCCTTAACCGGTCGAGACAATGATTGGATTTGCTTCTATGTTTCGTTTTTACTGGATATGAGAGCAATTGGATAGCTTAAGCAATTTGTTAAATTAATTTATAAAATGGGTGTGAACTCGAAGATCTTAGGAAAAAGTCCAAATTAATTTTAACACATAGTTTTATTTTTCGATATTATTAATTATTAGAGATTATAAAAACATGAGAAGTTCCCGAGATAGCACGAATGTGAATGTTTTGTGGTTGCACTTTGCAATTGCATCGGTACGTTCTGTCAAACCA